GTAGATTAGAAAACCAGCATTTTTACCCAGAATAACCTGTAGATTAGAAAAACCAGCATTTTTACCCAGAATAACCTGTAGATTAGAAAAACCAGCATTTTTATCCAGAATAACCTGTAGATTAGAAAAACCAGCATTTTTACCCAGAATAACCTGTAGATTAGAAAAACCAGCATTTTTACCCAGAACAACCTGTAGATTAGAAAAACCAGCATTTTTACCCAGAACAACCTGTTGATTAGAAAAACCAGCATTTTTACCCAGAACAACCTGTAGATTAGAAAAACCAGCATTTTTACACAGAATAACCTGTAGATTAGAAAAATCAGCATTTTTACCCAGAATAACCTGTAGATTACAAAAACCAGCATTTTTACCCAGAATAACCTGTGGATTAGAAAAACCAGCATTTTTACCCAGAATAACCCGTAGATTAGAAAAACCAGCATTTTTACCCAGAACAACCTGTAGATTAGAAAAACCAGCATTTTTACACAGAATAACCTGTGGATTAGAAAAACCAGATTGCAGAAAATAAGAAGATAAGATTGCAAGTTATACAAATTATGCTTTGCCTGAGTGATGACAACATTATAATGAGTAATTTATATTAAATTTCATACTTCTTGGAGGGGTGGTAAATAGAGGGTAAATGTCACAATTCTCATAGTAGGGGAAATTTGAGTTGTTGTTTTTTAAATATTGCCTTATAAAATTAAGAACTTTTTTTCTTATATAACATTAAAATTTGAATTATTAGCTACGTCAACTTTATTCATATACCACAATAAGAAAGTATTTTTTTATTAAATTTTGAATGTAACTTACTAAAACTTCATGACAGGTGCAGAAAAAGATTCCTGTACCAAAGTGTTAACAAGAGTATAGTGAAGCAACTTGCATAAACAAAGAATTAGTGTAGTGTTCAAAACAGTTTTTAGCCAAAAAAATGATCTGCATAAGATGATCCCCTTTTTTGCTAAAGCTATTTAAATTATTACACATAAAGCACAAGATCAAGGAATCATTTTAATGGTAACAGCAGTAGATACAAGCCCATCTTTCACATGAACTGAGCTGCAGACTCATTGAACTTCTATGTACCAAAATATCCAGTTTACATGTGACAACTTTTGTTGGTTGGAGTGACATTCCACTAGAATTGTGCTGAAGTGGATTCTGAATATTTATGTTTCAATGAGACATCTTGCATTACAAAAATCAAACAATACTTTAGTTGTACCCATAAATTTACCAACTTCAAAAAATGAAAAGTTGTTAATGCTAGCTTTTATCCAATTATAACAAAACAGGTATGTAGATATGATTCATAATCATGCTCTAAGTGTAGCCCAACACCAAACCTATTTTGAATAATACTCTTCAAATAACACATTACTATAGACTAGTCCTTGTTGTGCACCTGAGAAGGTACTCGTCTTTACATGGAAGGGTCCTTCTTCATTTAGCTCTTTAAAATATACTTAATGTTTTGAGTTCCAAGGTACATCTCTTTAAAAGAACTATTTCCTAATTCCAAGCAACATGTTTCCCACACTTCTGTAGATGTGAAAAGCATTTACATGAATCGACCAGTCAGTGGATAGCATGTCTCATGGAAATTGACCTTTATATGAACTTACAACAATAGTACCAAATTACAAGATACTAAAACATGTAAACTATTCACTGGACTAACTCCATCAAAGTAAGCACAGTTACATCTGAGTAAGTGAATAAAAGCCTATTTTTTAAAATAAAATTAGAATTTGATAATACTACTTCAACTAAGAAAATAAAAATAATAGTACAAGAACCTTGTTATTAAGTGTTTCAGTCTCTGTTCTTTCTCCTTGACTTGCCGTTGAAGTTTGATTAGCATGTTCAAGTCCAAATACAGGAAGCTGAGAACTTGGGTGGTGAATATTCTGTCCTAAAGGCAGAAAACCTGGCGTAGCAGAAGGTACTAATGTTGGGATACTACCAGGAGCAAAGTAGGAACCTCCTTGGGTATTGTGAAGTTGAGGACGGAATGGTAACTCTTCTGAAATACCTCCCTGATTGTTTGCTGGAGAAGCACGAGCATGGGTCCCATCTGGACTCGGAACATACTTTAAAAGTAGGAAAGATAAAGTCAGAGTTAGAAACGTCAAACTATTTCTTTAACAACGCTACCTCTATAAATGATGAATTCACCAAACTTAACTGACGTTCATAAGGCTTAACAACACAAACTAAATCAAGTGAATATGAATTAAATGTAAGAATATAAAATATTTATACTGAAAGAATGGAAATATGATATGTTTGACAACAATTATTAATAAATGTAATGTAACTTATATAGAGGGCTAAGTTATTTGTTCATGATTTATACCATGACAGTTACTGGTAATTACATGTGAACTTACACAGCAACACTAGTATGATGGTCATTTGTGTATTATTACACTTTAGCAGTTTGGACTAGGTCCAACTGTACCACAAATAGTCGAGAAACATACACGAGAGGTGTACATAAAACAGGCTACAACAATTTTTAAACCTTTAAACTGGAAATAACTAGAAAAAGTGTAGTTTACAAAAGTCAACGTTAGTTTGATGTGGTACAATGCCAATAAATTTTCAATAGAATTCTGTTAGATTTTAGTAGCATCAATAACTAATTATATTTGCAAAAACAATCTTAAAATATCTTAAAAAAAGGGACTTAATCATGCAATGAGTTTCATGTTTCTAGAACTTGAAGGTGGCTAGTAAATCTAATTAGGCTTAGAAATGTATTCATTCTAATAAGTAATAAGCATTAATTACAAACAAAAAAATTTATATTATTTGTTTCCTGTAACATATCTCAAACTGTTTTAGCTGAGAAAATCAACTAGAATGTAATACCTGCTGAAGAAAGTGTTGTAAGCTTTGTATTTCCAACTGCTGTAAGTAAAGTGTATGATAGCACTGGGTCAAGTTTAATACAAGTTGCTGTTGTTGTTGAAGCTGCTGGCTGTACTGTTGAAGGTTCTCTGGTAGAAATGACACTCCGAGGCCAGGTCGACCTGAAGAAACAACACAGCTTCAAGCACTTATAACACATTCATATAAAGCAAGCATTCTGTTTTACCTAAGTATAAGTGAAACAAAATTACATCACCATCTTGTTTTGTAATATGTGGCTATACTACCTCAAGTGGAATTATATGCAAATAAAAAATATTAATTAGCATTTTAACACTTTAACCCAACAGCCCTTCCCCCACTCCAACTACAGCTGGACAATTAGTAGAATTTAATAATTGTTGGGCTCATTAATCAATTACTTTCAACCAATTGATTATTGTCAAATGACATTCAAATAGAAACATTAATTTCAATTAGCTGATTATTTTTGTGACATTAATCAATTTAATCATAATTTTGCTTAAACATTAATCAATGTAATAGATGTTCATTGGTAACCGATTAATAAATTTGACCACCCAGCTCTAATCCCCATTGGTCTTTTACAATCTCACAGTGAAAATAAACTTAATACAGACTTAATGTCAAGATTATGTGTGAAAAAAATTCACAAGATCTGATTTAGTGTATTAAAATGTTTTGTTGAGAAAATGGTGTTATGATAATTAATTTTGATGATTAAAGTAGTCAATTTCTTGCTATAAATCGTACCAATACAGCAAGGCTCATCTCACAAACTGACAGTACTGTTGCCCCTGTCGTGTGTCGTAACATTATTATTAAGTTTTAGGTGGAGCTAATTTATATCTAATAGTTACAATTTATTTCCACAAGTAAAAAGTTCTTATATTTGTGTGTTTGTTAGTTGAATAATAAATTTAATAATATATATATTCAATAAAGATTGTGTCATGTCGTGTGAATAGTTAGTTACTGCTAATCCTAAGTATCCTTACCTGATGTCTTGTCACAGAAGACTGTTCCTGTAGCTTTTCAACAGGCATAAGGTAACTCAAAAACATTATCAGATATGAAAAGAAGAAATTATTTTTTTTAATTTGGTTTTCAAACATTGAATATTTAAACGTCTTGTCTTGAGGTCACTTTGTTTCTAGTAACCATACCAACTTCAAGATTTTCAAACTTGTGAAGAATTTTCACCTAACACTACTACATTTCAATAGATCAACTTAAGCCTTCTCTAAATTAAAAACACTCAAAATTATCGAGAATTTCACGAGTGGTACAGCAGATTGTGTTCAACCAATAATTTCACAGATGAGCAAACATAACATAAACATGAAGTTTGCTGAAAATGTTGAAATTTGATTGGAAAAAAGAAACAAGCTTAAGTCACCAAACAACACACTTATAGTGGGATATTTACATTTCACATATCTATAGAAAAAACTAAATAACCATTACATAATGCTCAAATATTAATTCTAGAAAATTTATGAGTAAAGAAAAAATTTTAAATTATAATGAAGGACTTTATGAACCAGAAAGGGTTAAACAGTTACCTGTACCAGTAGATGGGTGTGAGGACATGAATATGTTAGTTAGAGCTTGCTATGAACCAGAAAGTTACCTGTACCAG